GAACGGAACCCCCCCCCCGGGGAGATGAAGGAGGCGACACCCCACAGTGGACTCCTCGCCTCCCATCTGGGACCTCCCGCCACCTACGGAGGGAGACTGCCTAGGCTGAGCCCAGCATCCCAGTCACGGTGCCGACTCTGGGGCTTGCGGCCAGCCGACCTTCGGGTCAGGAAGGAAATGAGGGAACGGGCAGGTGTTCTTCCGCTGGGGCGGGACGGGACAGGGTATCGGGGCTGAGATCTTCCCGGGAGGAAGGCTCCACCCTGGGGCCTCGGCTACCAGGGAGGGGAGAGCAGCAAAGCCAACACAGGGCAGAAAGTGTTCACCAACAATAAGCCACAACTTTTATTAATTGATAGAAATAGTACAAATTTTAAATTTAGTTGCATTTTGCTCTTCTCTGAAACACCAAAAAAGGCTCCTCCCTCTGGCAGCTACATCGTCAACTCCTGCAGAGAGAAGAAAGACGTGTTAGGAGCCAGCCTTGCCGGGGCACGGAGCCCCACAGCCCGGCCTCCGACCCGGGGAGGGGTCCAGTACCACGGCTGCAGGTGGGAAGAATGTCCCTCTGCTCGCGGCCCCAAGCTCACGCCGTACTTGCAGCAGCGGGGAACTACACGCTGCACATCTCCCCCCCCCAGGGACGTCCCACCACAAACCGTTCTCCCTCCTCCCTGGGGGCCAGGCCCGCCCAGCCAGGCAGACACTCACCATTATAGCATTTACAATATCGTTACTGTTGTTCTTGAGGGCACGGACTGCCTTTGCTCGAGACACATTCGCCTGGGACATCACCAGCTCAATGTCTTTCACCTCGACGCCGGTTTCGTCAACCTAAAGGAGACAGAGCCCGGGATTCACACCAGCACGGTTTGCTCCGTGCCTGGCAGAGGAAAATGGGATTGTCTGGATGGGGGCAGCTCCCATTCAAGGCCACGCAGACGGAAGCTGGGAGGCAAGACCGGGCACTGCCCAGCCCTGGGGACAGTCCCCTGGCAGTGCCCGGGACCAGATCCTCCAGGGGAAGGACCCTGCGCTCCCTTTGCCATCACAGCGAAGACGTGGATGAGGGAAAGAAAAACACGGGTCTTAACACAAACTCCAGACACTTCGCAGGACGAGCATTAATCCAGTGGGCCTGCAGCCCAGCGGCTGGCTCAGGTCCGCAGTGAAGCACCCGGCCCCACAGAGACAGGCTGGGGAAGGCGTACCTCTTCTTCCTCGCTCTCCTCCTGCACGGTGGGGGTCTGTGTGTTTTCCTGGATGTTTGAAACAGCTTCTCCTTGCACTTTGAACTTTTCGGCAGCTGCCAGCTGGGCCTGCTGGGACAGGTCTTCGATCTGGAGGGAAGAAGCGTAAATGAGGCCAGCCCGGCACAGAGTGGAATGTCAGCACACGGGCTCAAGAGAGCCGCAGCTGCGCTCCCCGTGCTGCAGCAGTGCCAGCACATCGAACGGCTCTGCCACATAACCCAGCCAAGAAGCCAGCTCTCGACACGGACCCCAGGCCTGCCGACATCCCTTGGGGGGTCACACAGCAGCTGGGACCTGCCGGCGGCAGCCACGGCGCACAGGTGGCAAGGAGGAACCCCAGCTAAGTGGCCTGCTGCTCCGCTGCCGCGAGCACGGATTAACGCGGCTGCCAGACACTACGCAGTCAGCTCACCTTCGCTTCGCCAAAGACTATGTAGGTGTCTGACGCTGGGCTCTTGTACACATCTGGCTTTGTGATGACGAAGAGGATGTTCTTAGATTTCCGGATGGTGACTCTGGTTACTCCTGTCACCTGGCGAAGGCCCAGTTTAGACATTGCCTGAAAAACGTGAGAGAAAGGTAAGCGGGGGAAAGAAGAGTTACTGAGACAGCGCAGCCCATGAAAAGATGCGTCCACTCATCTGCCCTCCAGAGACCTGGGTCCAGCGATCAGTGCGCTCACGCAAATGAAAATGTGCATTTTACTGCTGCAGAGAAGCATTCCCGGGCTTTTCGCCTGACACTGCACTGGGAGCCTGGGAGGGAACTCTCTAGTCCCAGGACTGGTGAGATCCATAGCATGACCTCAAGCCCCTCCAGACACAAGGATTTTGCCTGTGAAGGGGGCATCCCCCTGCCCGGGGGCCCGACAAGGGCAGAAAGTCACATAAACCTCTCTCAGCTCCCGAACAGTGGCAGGAGGGGAGGAGCTGCAGCCCTGAACAGGGTTCACGGGGCAAAGACCCCAGCACTCAGGGATACCGTGCCAGACCCTGAGGCAAAGCTCAGCTGTCCATGGGCAGCCCGTTTGCTGCATACAGGTTTGGTCCATCCATCATCCCACCTCACCTTCCGTGCTTTCTTTTCACTCCGGCTCTGTTTTGCTTTGCTAACGGGTTCTTCATCTATTTCAGCTGCTGCTGCAAGCTGCAAGGAGAGAAAACAAGGGGGACCCATGACAATCCTGAGGTGGCGGTGCACAGCACCAGCAGGGATCCTGCTCTGCCGCTGCTGGGCGCAGGGACGCGCTGGCGCGTGCTGCCTGCCCTACCTGTGCCTGCTGTGTTGTGGCCTGTGTGGAGTCTTGCTCTTCGAGCTCTGGTACAGATTCATCACTGTCAGACTCTGTTCCGGACCCTACAGAACAAACACATTTTTTCAGGTAGGTCCAGGGGACACAGCAAGATTAAAGAACCACACTGCTTCGGTGTAGCCTTTGCTGCTGGGGGTTCCGAGTGCTGACACAGTTTCCAGTCAGCATGGTTAAGTGGTGTCTGGTGGAAGGAGCTCTCCCTGCAACCCCCAACGCCATCAGCAGCGGGTGGCACTAGAGCCTCTTCCGAGCAGTCTCACCACGGTGGAAGCTCCCCTGGGGCAGCAGGGAGAATCTGCACCAGCAGCTGGCCCAGCCTGGGCTGCGCTCCCGCCGGGTGCCAGAGCACCGTGGGTGCCCGGAGGCTCGCTCCGCAACGCTGACTCCCCAGGAGGCAGCCCCAGCCTGAGTCTCTCCCTCAGTTTGGGGCACCTCGCCGGCCAGTGTGGCAGCACGGCTCGAGGAGCGCAGGGCGGCGCTCCCCGGGCAGTGAGTCAGCAGCAGCCCGGCGCTGACAGGGACTCCCTCGGTTCCCCTCGAACCTGTTCAGGCAGCAGTGAAGCTCGGGTTGCAGCAGCTCAGACACACGGCACGGAAACGAGACCAAATTCACCGAGTCTTTGGGGCTGCTGCACCTTTCCGTGACTTCACTACAGGGGACGATTTGCAATTACCTTGGAAAGCCCCGTCAGGGAACTGCATCTTTGGATGCTCAGGTTGGCCTCTGTGCCAGGTCCTGAAAGCTGCCGGAGCCGGGGAGGCTCAGAGGGCTGCCAGCTCCTGTGCCACTGCTGCAGCGCCACGATTAGCTTGCAAACCACGGCACAACCGTGTCTGACCATGCGGGAGTGAATGAAGCAGAGCCGGGTATCTCCAGCCTTGGAGGAGGCCAGAGGGTGACCACGACGCCCTCTCATGCAGCCATTACCTGAATTCAGTCCCGTTTCCTTCCCTGGAAAGGGCCTCTGTGCCCACGGCCACGCTGGGCACGCAGGAGCCCTCGGCAAAGCTCTCTGCAGGCTGTCGGTGCGTGCCAAGGGGATCCCAACAGTTCAGGCAGGCAAAGGAGTTTCCCCAGAGTGCGGGGACATGCCTGTTTTGGCACCAGCACTGCCCGCAGCTTCCCTCCGCTGGCGGACGGATACGGGGAAAACCACAGTAGACGCCAGACACGCACAGTGGGGTACAGGCATGTGGCAGCTCTTCCCAGAGTCTCAGTGTGAAGCCAGCTCAGGCAACAGTGGCAGCGCCCCCGCCACA